CTTCAAAGTACCAAAGTTAAGGCAAGAAGTTTGTTAGCCGTTGCAGGTAAAGTGATCTTTCTGAGCAATGTACAACAAAAGTTGATTAAGATAAAATGTTTGTTATGTTAAATTATAGCGATATGCCGAATTTTATTAATTTAGGATATAAAAGCAAAATGTACATTTTTAAATCGTAAGATTAACAAAACATTTTCGATCTGAACTAAATTAAAATAAAAGCTTATTTAATGATACCACTAACACATAATTCAGCCCTTTTCCGACATTGTTTATAACTTTTTTCTAATATGGTCCAATGGTATTTCTCTAATAAGTCTAATAACAGTTTCAATTTTTTGTTTTAAACGGTCTAAATTGTTATTAAAATTTTCAGTGTACACTTTTTGTTTTACATAACCCCAAAAACAAATATCCATAACAGATAAATCCGGACTTCTTGGCGGCCATGGTTGCGGACCATATCCACACCTTCGCCTCCTCACCCCCATCCTCCCCGTTGTGCTTCCTGTCCATTGCCTCCTCTCTTAGCTCACTACACCCTCTCAGCATGTGTTACAGCGTCTCCCAATCCTCTCCATATCGTCCGCCCGGTACCTATTCCCCTTCTCCTCATTGCCACAGCGGAATCTGGCCACCAATCTCTTCCCTTCATCATGCCCCTCCATCAACAAATACTTTGGCAGTTCCTCTGTCACTATCTCCCCATACCTTTCATTATATCTCCCTTCTTGTATCTGTGACCTTCTTTCCTGCCTTTGTGTGTCCCTGTTCCCATCTCTCAGTTCTCTCCACATTTCACCTCTTTCCGCTCTTCTGTTTTCGATCCCAGTTAGTGAATATCCCACTCTTCTATAGTATTCTGTACTCTCCCAAGATCCTGCAATGCGGTCTTGCTTCTATCATTTCCTCATAATTCACTGTTCTTCTCCCAGCCTCCACCCTTACTGCATCCACCTTAACCTCCTCCCTCACTACATACCCTGGAGTGTCCCTTGTCAACCCTAGTACCTATCTCCAATACCGTGTTTGTATATCCTCCAGCAATCCTTGTTTTTTCCATCCCCATACTTCTGCGCCGTACATCCTTGTGCTCCTTACTCAAACATAACCTTTGTTTTTTCCACATCCCTCCCAAAAGTTCTTTCCCCTCATCTCCAAATCTGTCCCATCACCTTGTTCCCTTATCACATCACCCTTATTACTTTTCGCGAACCCATATCCCAGGTACGTGTACTCTTTCACTTGCTCTATATCTCTTCCCTGTCACCTTCATTCCTCCTTCGTTCTTCTCCCTCCTTTGCAGAACTTCATTATCTTTGTTTTCTCGACGTTTACCTTCAACCCCTTCGCATTAAAATATCTTTCCAGGGACATCATCATCTCCTTCATCTCCATCGCCTCTCTTACCACTACCACCAAATCGTCCACATACGCCAAGGAGTGCACCTTTGTTCCTCCTATCACCACCCCACTTATTTGCCCCTTCACAAGTCTCTCTTCCAAGTTCGCCGTATATATTGCAAATAGTGTGGGACTAAGCGGACACCTTTTGTCGTCCAGAATACCTCGCTTAACTCTTCCCCATTTTAACTGTGGTCATCGTCTCCCTGTACATCACCATCACCCTCTCTATTAGTTGTTCTGTGATACCTGTCCTCCTCATTTCCTCCCACACCTTCTTTCTATCCACTTTATCGAATGTAGTCTTCAGGTCAATAAACAATCCATGCAACTCTTCTCCCTTCTTGTTCAACTCCCTATCTACCAGGTGTTTCAGTATGTATGTATTGTCAATTGCCCTCTTCCCTTTCTGAATCCCGCCTGCCCATCCGGCAACAATTCCCCCCTCTTCATTTCCTCTTCCAACCTCCCCAGCAGTATCTTTGCATAAATTTTGAAAGTTGTGTCCAACAGGGTGATCCCCACATAGTTATTAAAAATAGATTAAAATTTTTGGATTGTAAAGTGAGTTGAAATTTTTGGATGATAAAAATGTTCATTACTCTTTATGTAAAATTCTTCACATATACACTGTTGGAAGTAATTCACGAGCATACCCTATATAATCTGAACGCGTGAAGATAAATCCATAATATTTGCGGAGCACAAAGGTTTACTGTAGACGAGTTTATTTAGGGAGTTTCGAGTTGTTCCGTCGCGGCATTGTTGACTGAGCCGCCCTTCCAAGTGGAACATTCCATCGCTATGGAGACCGAAGTGGATGGAAAATACCGGTCGTTTTTAGTGTGGTATGAGGGACCACATTGTTATCGTACTCTGTGCGCAATGGATGGGCGAACGCGTTACTTAAGCGAGGAATGTTTGTGGGTATGCACATTGAGGGTGTATCGTTCTGTGAAATTGCGCGTCGTCTCGAGCGGTCGTTATCGGCAGTGCAACGGACATGGCGAGAATGGTCTGAGGTAGCTTCAGCCGCGGCCAGGACGGTCCTGCGCATCCCCACCACACCAGGATTGCGCTCTTGTGCTCAGCGCTTTAGCGTCGTGTGTGTCCTCCTCAAGGCAACTTGGAGCTGTTTGGCCACAGGCAGGGGAAGACGCACTCACTACGCGACTGTACGGCGGCGTTTGGTAGATAGTGGACGATAGTGGCGCGTCGTGCGTTACAGCGGATTCCAGTAACACCCGAGCACCGCAGCATACGTCACGAGTGGGTCGACGCTAGGCATTAGTAGGTTGCCGAGTAGAGGGACATTTTGTTTTCCGACGAATCAAGATTCGAATTCAGCACCGGTGATGCGCGAATTTTAGTTCGTGGGAGCATTCGTGCGATTACATATGGTTTACGTACACGTCTGCTTCGTGTATAGCAGACCATGACGGGTTAACGATACGTAGATGAGGTGCTACGGTCCGTTGTGCTTCCCTATGTTCGGCGGCTCCCAGGTCTGCTATACATGCACGACAACGTACGACAGCACATCGGGCGTGTTGTACAGACCTTTGTGGAAGAGCACCGTATACGAATGCTTCCATGGCTAGCTCGGTTTCCGTATCTGAATCCGATCGAACATGTTTGGGACATGTCTGGTCGGAGACTTCTACGTTATCCGGCTTCCTCGGCTAACGTTGAGGAGCTATGGAGGTGAGTTGTGGTGGCATGGTTGGCCATCCCTCTCGCTACAATACAGCGACTTATAGACTCCATGCCACGTCGTGTAGCGATGGTACGCGAAGCTCACGGGAGGATACTCTCGCTATTGATGTTTCTCCTCCCAGCAGAGTTGTGCCGCTCTCCATGTGAGAGTAAATTACACTACTTTAGTACTACTTCCATACTAAATTTTATTGCACTAGACACACGCGTTCAGATTATGCAGTGTGTGCTCGTGAATTATTTCTAACAGTGTATCTATTTCCTTCGATTAAGTCAGTATTTCAAGAATTTTCATGGTGTTTAGGTCAGTTTTATGTTTGTATTCTGTGATGTGTTTGAAAAATGTAGAGTTATGTTTTGAGATATGTTCTTTGTATCTCGTTTTTAGACTTCTGCCGGCTTGACCTATGTAAAACATGTTACAATCACCGCATTCAATTTTGTATACACTGCTTTTTTCGCAATATTGGAACGTATGTTTGTTGTTAATTAAAGATTGCCCAAGGCTGTTATTAGATCTAAAAGCGGGTGTTATATTATGTTTTTGTATTTAAAATTCTTTTCCAGGTCGGCGTTACGTAATTTTTAACTTTACAACCTAAAAATATTAATAACTATGTGTATTATTGACATTTAGACGGTAAGAATCTTTTATGTTATAGGTTTTTATTTGTATAAAAAATGTTTGTATTCTATTCTTGCAGTGGTGCCTGAAGACGGTTTTGTTAAAGAAACCGAAACAATAATATATACATCATCTTTAAATATTCATTTCTTCAATTTCTTACTTTTACCATAATAGTACTTACAGGTGATTTTAATGTTCATTTTCATGTGGATTGTATCAGTTTTATAATTGTGTTCAAACCATTGATTTTTCTTTTGTTAATAATAATAATCAATGCGTGAATGAAAAATTCTGTAAGTTCATGCAATTGCTTACGAATACTCACGACTTGTGTTTTCCTGAAAAGACCCTTTTAGTTGAAAATAAAAGTGCAAACCATAACGTATGTTTGTTCAATAAGGACATAAGAAACTTAAGAAATAAACTTCAATTGTTAACATCCCTGTATAAGCAACATCCGCGACTTGTTACGAAACAAATGTTGAATAAACATAGAAAAGTTTACAAAAATACTATCATGATATCGTATCGTATCATGATATCGTATAGTATACTACTAAATAGTAAAAGGTTAGCGAATACAAATTATATAAAAAACTTACAAAAGACAACTTGCGCTGAAATTTCCAGTAAATTCTGTGGATGAGATGCAGATTGGCCCACTTTTCCGGTTTAGAGAAATATCTTTAACCAAATTGCGAGATATCATTTATGATTTAACATATCAATAATACCGGTATTGGGTAAGTTGTTCGAAATAGCTCTACACGAGCAACTGACAAGTCACTTGGAGGATAATAATTTGCTGAAACAGTTCCAGTATGGATTCCGGAAGGGTAGATCGAGAACCGCGGCGATTGGAGTACTGGTCGGGCCCACACAACGATGTTTTGAGAATAAATTATTTGCGGAAACCTCTTTTTATGATTTAAAGCATAAATTTCGTCATTTTTAACATTTTTGCAAATTATTCGCAAACCGTGCAATAAAATATGCCAAGTTGGGTGGCTTAGTACATATTGAATTTGGAGTTTTTATCTTGAAATTTAGACTTCAAAAAAGCCTAAATCACAAGTGATGGTACCCTTGATAGTACCTTGATACTACCCTTATGGACAAAAGTAGTCTTTATGGATAAATCGAAATAATGTTGGTCATAAATTTTAACCTTTTCAACTAAGCAAAGATTTAGTGCATGAACCCATGTAAATGGCTACTATTATTATATTTACTTTATTATTATTATATTTAGTTTAGCAAAATATGATATGGTAATAACAACTTATACAATCTGTCAAAACGAAGCATCAAAATCCACCCCACTTTTCCGAATAAATTGGCGACGAGTTATTTTGGATGAAGGTCATCAAATACGAAATCATAAATCTCAAACCGCGGCGGCCGCATGTCAATTAGAAGCGAGATCGCGATGGGTGTTAACGGGAACGCCAGTCCATAACAAAGAATTGGACATGTACAGTTTGATGAAGTTTTTACGGTGCACACCTTTTGATGATTACGGGATTTGGAAAACGTGGATTTCAAACAAAGACACCGGGGGTTATCAAAGACTTCAAACGGTCATCGCTTCGTTAATGTTAAGACGAACGAAAGCTCAATTACAAGAAAAGGGGGCGTTGCAATCACTACCTGAGAGAATTTGGAAAGTGGTTGAGGTGAAGTTGTCTGAAGACGAAACAGCTATTTATGAAAAAGTTTTGATTTTTTCGCGAACCATTTTTGCGCAGTATTTAAGTCAAAGGAGTAATAAGGATAGAGGTTGGAATGTTAATGAAAGACCAACGGTGACCAAACCAAGTATATAGCATTTTGCATATTTATTTTATCTTTTGATGAAACTTTTTTTTTTAAATTTTAGTACAACCTGGTAATCCTTACTATAAAATATATGAAAAAATGTCAAGAAGATGTAAAGAAGTGAAACAACACGAGATTTTAATGGTACTTTTGCGTTTAAGACAATGTTGTTGTCATCCATCATTGATCAGTCAAGTAATAAAAAAAAATAATTTTATGAATACACCTTTAATTACTTTTTTTGTTAGATGTTGGAGAATGCTGACCTTGAAGAAGAGGAAGATGACGGAGTGATGAATCTTATGGAGGAATTAGAAAAATTAGATTTAGAAAATGATCAAGAAGAGAAAAGACCAGCTGTTAAAGTGGAAGTTACAAAGAAATTTTCCTCTGAGAATCCATTATTTTCATCTGATTATAAAAGTAAAAAGGTATTGTGATGATTTCATCAATTACATAGTCTGAAATTTCAGTAGATAATATCTGTTTGTTTAGGTGGAAATGATTTTGAAAACTATAAATGAAATTGTGAATGAGAAAAAAGAAAAAGTAATTATTGTTTCTCAATGGACCAGCTTTCTAAGATTAGTAGCAAAATTTTTAAAAGAAGAAGGTATTAAATATGAGCAACTTGATGGAACACTTAAGATTGACAAACGAATGGAAATTGTTCAAAATATTAATAATTCAAGCCATCCAACGAGAGTGTTGTTGCTTTCCTTAACAGCAGGTGGAGTTGGGTTGAATTTAGTCGGAGCGAATCACCTTTTGCTTGTTGATATTCATTGGAATCCTCAATTGGAGTCCCAGGCTCAAGACAGGATTTACAGGGTTGGTCAAAAAAGACCGGTTTATATTTATAAGTTTATTACAAATAACACTATTGAAGAACAAGTCAAAAATATTCAAGATTATAAATTATCTATCGCCAATTCAATGTTAACAGGATCCAAAGTTGAACATACTAAATTGTCACTTCAAGACCTTCGAGTTCTATTTAATATGTAAGTTGTGTAAGTATTCGTTTTGTAGTTTATTTAGTAGTTTTAATAATATTAATACTGTGATGATTCTTCTAATATTTGTAAATTATGTTTAATAGCTGTTGATTATATGAATAAACTATCTAAGTTGGCTGTTGATGGGCTCTGTAAGCAACAATTATTTGATAGGAAAAGAACAATAAAAAGAATCAAAATTAAACAAATAATTGTTGGTTGCATGATATCAAAATTTTAAATGCCATTAAAAAATAAGAATAGAAAATAAAATATTAGTATTATAACTTAACCTTGAAACAATATTAATGAGAGAATTGAATATAAACTATTTTTGTATTTAATTTACCATATTCAGATCTTAATGAAAATAAACTTTGTCTTAGTTCACTCTATTGTGATTTTATTTATACCCCTTAATATCTAATTTTTTTAATATTATGCATAGCACAATTGTGTAACAGTAAATACATACTAATTAGTTACTTATTTTTGACTCAAAATTAAACAAGATAATGTTTTGCAGCTTTTCCAAGTGGTCCAGTCTGCTTTACACAATGCAGATAAATATTGTCATATTTTTACCGTTTTAAGACAAAAACGTACGCACTGCGATACGCGGAATACACATTTTGGTTATTACTGTTTTTGTTATAATTCTGCACTATTGCTCGCGTTTGAATCAACTAAGTCACTAAATCGAACGACATCATCCTCTGAAGGCGACGTAAGACATCCTCGTTGTCGAGAAGCTGGATGGCCTCGATGTTGCGATGATCGTGCAATCTCATCTCATGTTTAGATGCGAATGATGCAATTTCTGATGACACCGATAGTACTTCCAAGTCGTGATGGAGGTCGGTGTTTCTTATATACCAAGGTGCATTCGCTATGCACCTTAGTACTTTGTTTTGGAATCTTTGAATCAGACTTGCATTTGTCTTGCAGGTACATCCCCACAGTTGAATTCCGTATGTCCATTTTGGTTTTAATACTTGCTTGTATATTAGCAACTTATTTCTTAGTGATAACGTTGATTTTCTACCAATATAGGTATCTAAATTTGATATCAAGTTCCTCACCTTTTTTTTTATGTGTGCTTTCCATTTGAGTTTGGCATCCAGCGTCATACCAAGATATTTTGCGGTATCGGCGTAAGGGACTGCATTGCCATTTATGTGTACTGGGACATAGTTTACTTTCTTGTATCTGAAATTGATGTATGTCGATTTATGTGTATTTAATTTTATTAGCCATCATTTGGCCAGTTTTCTATTGAATTTAAGGCCAATTGTAACTTATTTGCTGCAATTACTTCATTTTCTGCAACAGCCAAGATCGCTGTGTCATCTGCGAATGTAGCTGTTAAAGTTTCCGATATCTAAGGAAGGTCAAATGTGTAGAATAAGTACAGCGTTGGGCCAAGCACACTTCCTTGAGGAACTCCGGCTTGTATTTCATGTCGTGGTGAATAAGTGTTTTCGTATTTTACTCTAAAATATCGATCAGAAAGATACGATTTTAATAGTTGATGGTAGTATTTGGTCTAGTTTGTAATTTAAATCATCTAACCAAACTTTGTCGAAAGCTTGTGGAACATCCAAAAATACGGCGGAGCAGACTTTGTTTCTTCCATTGCTATTTCGATTCATTATTCTATGCACTTAGTCTATTGTTGCATGTTTATTCCGAAACCCAAATTGATGTGTTGGTGTTAGGGCTTTTTCTTCTATCACAGGTTTTAGTCTTTTTAATAGTAATTTTTCAAGCAGTTTTGATAGTAAGGGTAATAATATGATACCTATATGATGTAACATCTGTGGAGGGTTTACCAGGTTTTGGTATTATTATTATTTCAGCAATTTTCCATATACTTAGGAAGTATTTCTGCTTATAAGCAGCATTAATTATGTGTAACAGTTTTGTAATCGCCCGTTTTGGTAGATGTTTCAATGTTTCTCTATTAATTAGGTCATAGCCTACTGATTTCTTTATATTTAGTTTTTGTATTTCATAATACAGTTCTTTCATTCTTACACATGGTATATTATTCCGCAGATCACTTTGAATTACGCTAGGGACACTATTTAGCATAGTTGTCGGACTGTCTGATGTAAAAGTTTCTTTCAAATGTTCAGCAAAGAAATTAACTTTTTCTTTATTGCCCTTAGCCCAATTTCCGTTATTATTTCGAATTGGAAGTGTATTTGTTTTTGGTGTTGAATTTTATAAAAATACCACATTGAATATTAAAATTTAAATAAATAAACTAAGGTAAAATGTTAAAATTAAATAAATATGTTACGAATTAAAATGAAACGTACAACAAGATGAACACAGCGCACAATAATGTGCATATAATGTTTTTATTGTTTCTTCTTGTTGAAGTATTGTTTTTTAGTGTTAGATCTAATTTACTGTTAGCCGCTTTATCGGGTAATGTACTTGCAGTTTTTTCTGCAGTTTCACTACTCGCTTTTTTGGCATACGAGACGCTTGGCTTTCTTTTATTTAAATTTACTGTTTTCTTATTCCTGATGGCTTGTAGTTCCTTAATCACAATGTATCCTCGGTAGTTCGCTGGATAATGTTCTCCACAGTTGAAACATTTAGCCGGAAATTCTTTGGCTTTAGTGCATTCGCTGATCCAGTGCATTTAACACGTCCCGAATTTTTGTGGCAGTAAGCTATAGTATGGCTCCAACCATGACATCTTTTGCACTGGGGCATTTGTTTTGGCTTTCTGTATCGTCGATTTTGACACGCCTTCCTAATATGTTTGTTATTTCATGGATTCTTTTTACATCTTCTGAGGGTGCAAAATCCAAGATATATAAAGGAAGAAGTTGTTTTGTTTTGTATTTTAACAGTTGGGTTACTTTACAAATGTTACAATTGCGCCCCAATAGTTCATCTTTGATAATATATTGTCACCAAGTACGAATTGAGCGCCGTTCGATCTGCTTGGCCATTGGTCGTCAACCCTACCTACGGATCGGACGGTCGCCAACCAACCACAACGCCCGGTTGATAGGGTTTTACCCAAGGGCGCCTATTTAAGGCGGCCGGGTTTCCATCAGCGGTCAATTCCAACCGAACTCCGAAGCGACAACAACAGCGACAACGATAACAGCGACAACAGCAGCGACAACGATAACAGCGACAACAAGCCAGCACTTCAACCGCCAATTCGAAGACGACCCCTTTCGTCTTAAAAAAACCTTTGAGGGTTTTTTTTTGTACATATTTTGGTAAATAAATTATTTCGTTTTATTCAACAACTGTTGTTTCTTCTTCGGCGCAATCCATCCCCCGTAACAGTATTAATACTTATTCCAATCGGTTGGGTAGTTTTAAAACAATGGCCCATAATATGTGAAAAAGGCATTTTTTTAGACAAAATGTGAACTAAAAATTCATTTATTTTATTTTTTAACAAAAATAAAATAAATTTAGACAATGTAGGGAAATAGGTATGAACCGTAACACTTGAAAATAGAAATTTGAATTGACAATTAGAAACTGTCAAAACACAAAATGTATTCACCTGAAAAAAATGTTTCATGTACACTTCCCAAAATAAGAGAAATTGCTCAGTATTCAATGTCCTCATCATTGTGGACCTTGTATTCGATGCTAAGAACGTGTTTAAATATCCATAGACAAAAATTGTCACATTGACAACTAGAAAAATTAATGACCCAGTGTCACCAACTTGAACTGGTTCCATAAAATGTTACTAAAATCTCATTACAGCATCGGGTGCTGTAAGGAGTCTCGTTACAGCACCCGTTTGAGTACTGTTAGAGCTTTTGTTACCGTCGTGAATTACAAAATAGTATATTAAGTATCTAGAACGGTAAGTACAATTTACCGGTTGACGACGATTATTATATAAATAATAATTAATTTACTAAAATATGTTGACATTTGTAATGATTTATAAAGTAGGTAAAAAATTTGAATTAATTCTGTTGCCCTGGTTTTATTTACAAAAAAAAACAAATTGTGTGATTTGTGAAATTGTATTGTAAACAGTGCTTACAATAATATTAAAACTTAATATAATATAAATTATATAAATTATAATATATATTACTATATAACCAAAATGAGTGATTCTGAGAGTGAAAATGGTGATGATATAGAAAAAGCTTGGAATATTGGACGTTCGGCAATAATTCCCGAAAAATCTAGGGAACGTTATGAAATGACGTACCAAATTTTCAAAAAATGGTGTGGAGTAAAGAATAAAAATACGAGTGAAAAAATCTTGTTGGCATATTTGGTCGAAAGAAACGGAAAATTAAAAGCTGCAGGTAGTTTATGGGCCGAATACTCAATGTTGAAAGCGACAATTTTTTTACACGAATCCATTGATATATCCAAGTTTTCAACATTAATTGCCTTTCTAAAAAGAAAAAATGTTGGGTACAAACCTAAAAAAGCTAGTGTTTTTACCAAGGATGAAATGTTTAAATTTTTAATTGAAGCACCAGACCAATTGTTTGTAATCTATAAGGTAAATTTAGATTAC